GGATGGGAAGGGATGGGATGAATGAATGAATAGAATAGAATAGAATAGAATAGAATAGAATAGAATAGAATAGAATAGAATAGAATAGAATAGAATAGAATACCTCTGTCACTTCCATTCTCAGTTGCTGAGAATTATAATTATAGTCAGTAGTTCGTGTCAATCTGGAGTGAGCTAAATGTAATGGTGTTCTTCCATTTCTATCAAGAGCATGGGCATTGGCACCTCCTTTCAACAACATAGTTATAGTCCCGATTTGATTGCTGCATACAGCTGATGGTAAAACAATGAACATCAAGATTAACATGGCCTAAATAGTGGAACATTTCTAGAGAACAAGTATCTTTAAAAATGAAGATCTTGGGGAAAAATACACCCTCAAGTCCAGTCAAAGCATGAACATCTTCATAAAACAATTCTAAACACTAACTCTGCCCAGTATAAACTAAATTGACAGTCTTGCACTGCATTGTGACATCCAAAAAAATGCATTGAACACATACAGTACGGTATGAATGTAACATTTAGATAACTTAGTCTGCTTTCAATACTGCCACACTTGTATAGAATAATCTCTCTAAAGATGTCTCGTATTATGAAATATGTGATTTTACAGAAAAATAAGTTGAAATTGTTGATAACAATAACACTCATTTTTAAAATTATAAGTTTTTATGGAAAAAGCCAACTCGGCTTAATGGTACAGTAATTTAAAATATAGTAGTTTTTCTTTGTAGCATTTCACTAACAATATCTTATGTGATTCAAGTTTATTTCCAGATCATCACATCTCTGGAACCTATTACAATATCGTTAATAAAAGTCACCAAATCTCTTACCTAAATGGAGTGGAGTATTTCCAATAACATCCTTTGTATTTGGATTTGCACCATGGCGTAGAAGAACTTGTACTGGAATCAAATGTAGATATATATTTAAAACAAATATTTCTGTGTTTTTTCATCGGCATCTAAAACCAATCTGATTATTTGTTTAAAAAAACAGAGCCAATGTCATGACAACAGAGTGATATCACTGTCATAGAGAACTGTTCTTTACCTTTATTGTGAGTGTATATATTCTATGCATAATTCAACTGATAAGCAAAAGATATAGTGACACTCTCAGTGAGTGTTAAAATCACATCATGGCAATCGATATGAAGATATGGGAATACTGTGGACTGTTTAATCCTTGCTGCAAAAACATTTCATGATTATTTTCGTAATAGCGCTCATGATGACAACATTTTAAGAAAGTTCCTGTGACTCATTGTCTTTCAGATCCCAGTGACATTTTCACTGTTACAAAATTTTGTGATTTTGTCTGATTCACAGAAATTTATCACTTGTGAAATACCAGCAGTTTATAGTACATGTGTACTACTCTTGTTCTTCACGTTTAATGGAAGGAAACATATTTCCATTTCATTCCATCCAAACAAGCTGCAACTGGACACACCCTGTTTTTTTATTAGACACTTACCAATTTCTTGTGCTCCCTTAGCTGAGGCTATGTGTAAAGGAGTTCTATGTTTATCATCTGCAGCACTTGGATCAACACCATCTTCTAAAAATTTACAAACTATGGATACAGAGACAGATTTAACTCAAACATTGAAGCACCTGAACAGTCTACAAATTATACATTGAACCATAAAAATTGATGTCAATAGCAAATGTTGGGTAACACAGGTATGTGATTGGCTTTAATTGTGGCACATCGTGGAACATCATGTGAATTATTTATACATGCAATCCAGTTGTCTCAACTGGATTTAAATGAAATTTGATAAATATGTTATAAAGTAAAGCAAACAGCTTTTCTGAAAGTACTATAAATGATGTATATTTACTGAAAAATACATTATTTTCGCTTGGAATTAATTTTCGCTGAAGGAATGATTCACAGAAAACAAGTCATGAATGACACTGCCTTCGCTAGTTATCATTCTAAAGTTGCATGGACATAAATTGGCAAACGTGATTTCTATGGCATTTTCAAGTTTATAGCACTCTCCATCCAGGTCAGCATTATTCTCAGCAAGGAAACCAGATAGCACCAAACCAGTACAACAGGTAAAATGACAAGGAAGTATACAAATCAGATCTGCAAATATGTCAGTGTTGTGTCTGTTTGGATAAACTAGTTTGTGGCCCTGGATTAGTTTCAATATCTCTAAATAAAAAGGACAAGATTACTTCTCATACGACAGTGATACAAACAAGTCATTGTCAATGACACGTCCCCGTTCCGTTCATATTTGAGTGACATATACATTCAAAGCAGATCATGACCGAAATGCACCTGCATATGTACAACACATTGTGCTAAATCTGAACGAAATCCATCCATGCATGACTGAGATCCGGTTCTGGAATTGTGAAAATACGTGATTTTGATGCATTTTCGGCCTTAAAATGGCCATCATTCCACTATTGTTAAGCAGATCATGAAACAAATGCACATATCTATTTGTGACATGATGTACCATGTGTGTGTGAAGTTTGAACTTGATCAATCCAGACATGTCTTGGATACGGATCCAGAACTGAATTCTTTAACAAAATGGCCGCCAGTCGGCCATTTCGAACTTGATCCGAAAAAAAAAAAAAGACGTGCATCAAGGTCCTATTATGTTTAATGTATGTACCAAATTTGAACAAAATCCATCCATGCATAACTGAGATACGGGTCCGGAATGGTGAAAATGTGCGATTTCAATGCATTTTCGGCCTTAAAGCGGCCCCCATTTGGCTATCGTTAATGAGATCATGAAACAAATGCACATACATATTTGTGACATGATGTACCTTGTGTGTGTGAAGTTTGAACTTGATCAATCCAGACATGTCTCCGATACGGATCCAGAACTGAATTCTTTAAAACAAAATGGCCACCAGTCGAGACGAGACGAGATTCCCCCCTGACAAGTGTGGAAAACCCCGGAGAGAAGAATTACCCCCTGATAGAAGACTCATTTTTCTACTGAGCAACTACAGGCAGAAGCCTATAGCTTGGTAAGCTTGGTAGCTCAAAATCCGTTAACAGCTACTTGGGCATAAATAAACGATGTCTGAACACCAAATTCACGTCCATTTGGGCTAAAACTAACAAGTCATTGTCAATGACACGTCCCCGTTCCGTTCATATTTGAGTGACATATACATTCAAAGCAGATCATGACCGAAATGCACCTGCATATG